GTTTAGGGTTTAGGGTTTAGGGTTTAGGGTTTAGGGTTTAGGGTTTAGGGTTTAGGGTCTAGGGTTTAGGGTCTAGGGTTTAGGGTTTAGGGTTTAGAGTTTAGAGTTTAGAGTTTAGGGTCTTGGGTTCAGGGTAATTACAGGGTTTAGCGGCTTAGGGCTCAGGGCGCCAGGGATCCTCACCACCCCCAAGTCTCTGCCGCCGGCGCCCAAGTGCATTCAGGGTTTAGGGTTAGGGTTTAGGGTTTAGGGTTTAGGGTTTAGGCTTTAGGCTTTAGGCTTTAGGCTTTAGGCTTTAGGGTTTAGGGTTTAGGGTTCAGGGTTCAGGGTTTAGGGTTTAGGGTTTAGGGCTAGATTGCCACAGCTCAATCGCCAAAAGATAGCCATAACGCTTGTTTTCACAGCTCTACCCCATGCCGTCTTACAAAAATCCCAGGCCCTAAGCCCTGCAGGCGCCAAGAAGTAACCCTGGTCTCTGGGTCTGTGTCCAGGAACCCAAACCAAACAAACCTCCACACCCTAAACCCTAAACCCTAAACCCTAAACCCTAAACCCTAAACCCTAAACCCTAAACCCTAAACCTCCACACCCAGACATGAAGCCCTAAACCTCTGGAAACTTCCCAGCCTCCTAGAAACAAACCTCAACACTAAGCACCCGACCAAAGCCCTCCAAAGCTCAAAGACAAAACTTCAAGGGATTAGGGTTTAGGGTTTAGAGTTTAGAGTTTAGGGTTTAGGGTTTAGGGTTCAGGGTTCAGGACCCCGGACACCCCGGTCTTGGTAGCCCAGCAACAATACTTATAAACAAGGGGGCACCCTTTTTTGGGGGGGGGGGGGGGGGGGGGGTGGCTGCTTGAAAGAAGGGAACCCACAGCCGACAAAAAATGGGGGTGCAGGGAACCACTTGGCTGCCCAGTGAGACTGGGCCCCCCCCACTTCATGGGGTTGCCGATGTCCGCGCAGTGCAGGAGGGCATTCCTGGGCCCAGGATATGCTTTCGGGTTTAGGGCATTAGGGTTTAGGGTTTAGGGCTTTAGGGGTTTAGGGTTTAGGGCTTAGGGTTTAGGGTTTAGGGTTTAGGGTTTAGGGTTTAGGGTTCAGGGTTTAGGGTTTAGGGTTTAGGGTTTAGGGTTTAGGGCTTCGGGTTTAACTTGGTAGGCCCTAACCAGGTTAAAACAAGGGCACCCTTGTTTCGGCTGGTTGCTGCATACGGGAACCTTGAAGCAAAAAACAGGAAAAGGGTACCAATGGGCTACAAAGTTGTTGGGGCCGGGTTAGGGTTTAGGGTTTGGGTTGTATGGTTTTGGTTTTCGAGCTTAGGGATGTCCTTTCAGAGGCAGCTCAGAGATTTCTGGCAGCGTCCGGGAAACACATCCCGGAACCCTCAATCTCCGAAGGATTCGGCCCCTAAGGCCCCCCTACAGCCCCTCCACCGCCAAAGCTCCCCAAAGCCCTGCGAAACCCTTCACCCCAGGACACACGCCTGGGAGAGCGGCTTGGGTTCACAGGGTTTAGGGTTTAGGGTTTAGGGTTTAGGGTTTAGGGTTTAGGGTTTAGGGTTTAGGGTTTAGGGTTTAGGGTTTAGGGTTTAGGGTTTAGGGTTTAGGGTTTAGGGTTTAGTGTTTAGGTTTTAGGGTTTAGGGTTTAGGGTTTAGGGTTTAGGGTTTAGGGTTTAGGGTTTAGGGTTTAGGGTTTAGGGTTTAGGGTTTAGGGTTTAGGGTTGAAATTGGGGGTGCGAGGGCTTAGGGCCCGGGATTGTGGTTTGGCAGGGCTTCACAAGGCTCTTAAGGATATTGGACCTAAACCCTAAGCCCTAAACCCTAAACCCCAAAACCCTAAACCCTAAACTATAAACCTGATGCCCCAAGCCCGAAACTCTTCAAGCGACGCCCGAGGCACATGATGGTTTGCGTGGTGCTTGCTGAGCTCAGGACCTGGGCTTTCGCGTGAAAAAAAGAGGGTCCAGCAAGCAAACTCAAGAGGCACCCCTTCAAATGCTCCCCTATACTAACAGTCATTAATAGGGATTCTAAGGGTACTAGAATCCCTATTAAGAAAGACTGCTAGTATAAGGGGGAACATCTCAGAAGGCACCCCAAGGCCCACAAAGGGACCCCAAATGCCTTCCCAAAGCAAAAGCCCAAAGCCTGTCCAACACTTTGCGGCCCAACGCCCCGGACGCGAACCATTACAACTCACGAACAGGCCTTAGTAGGGACTTTATACTATTATAATCCATATGAAGGACTGCTAGTATAAGGGGGAACATTTCAAGTTATGGGTTTATCTGGGATTATTTAGGGTTTTGGGGTTTAGGGTTGAGTATACACGGTTAGGAAAGAAGAGGCAGGATTTTGTAGGATTCGGGGCCTGTAAAGATAAGCTCATTGTCAAAGCGGGGGTGGGGGGGGCGTAGGGGGTGGGGGGGGGAGTGGGGGAGTGGGGGGGACTGGGGGGACTGGGGGCGGGGAGTGGGGGGGGGAGTGGGGGGGGATGGGGGGGTGGGGGGGTGGGGGGGGGGGGTGGGATCCTCTTCCTTGTCCAGAGCATTCAGGAGCAGCAACCGTGCGGTTTCAGTCTGTTGCCACTTCTCGGCCAGCACCGTGGTCTCGGTGGCATGAGCTTCCCTCAAGCTGCGCATCTGCTGGAGGGCAAAGCGCCTTGGCCAGGGCATGTCCAAAGCACCTTGTCCATTGTAACCCTAAACCCTCAACCCTAAACCCTAAACCCTAATGGTCTTGAGAGGCATGCACGAGACTGTTTGAGGCTATGGCCTTTACTTTTCCATGGGCCACTGTCAACAGAAATTCTGGGGCACCCCGACCACTGTGTCCGCTTTGAGGGCATCCAAGGCATCGGAATTCATCTGGTAGAGCAAGGACAGCTCCTCTCAAGGCAGGGTTCTGGGCTTACGGGCTGTCATGGGTTTAGGGTTTAATTAGGGTTTAGCGTTTAGGGTCGTTGGACAACGCTAAATCTTCAGACGTTGAATGCTTCCGGGCCTCTAAACCTGTCAAAACCCAAACCCCAAGACCCGAAAGAAACCCCCCAGCTTCCAACTCGGCTGCAGCCACCCCCCCAAACCCGACAACCGCTCTGTAAACTTAAACCCTAAGCCCTAGACACTGAGTCCTAAACCCTGACTGAACCCTAAGCCCTAATCCCTAAACCCTAAACCCTAAACCCTAAACCCCTAACCCTAAACCCTAAACCCTCAAACCCTAAACCCCGTCCTTGATCATCTCGTTGTGCTTGACCATGTCGGTGTGGAGGATGGCCGCGATGATGCCCCGGCCTTGTGACCCAAGGGCTTCGGGGTTTAGGGTTTAGGGTTTAGGGTTTAGTGTTTAGGGTTTAGGGTTTAGGGTTTAGGGTTTAGGGTTTAGGGTTTAGGGTTTAGGGTTTAGGGGTTTAAATTCGATTTTTCGGGGGTTTGGGGGGGGTTTATGGTTTAGGGTTTTGTGTTTAGGTGTAGTCGCCTTTTTCTCTCTTGTTATTGGTGAGTGTCTGTTACAAATATTGGTGAGCGCGCAGCCTAAACCCTAAACCCTAGACCCCTATTCTCTTCCTCACGTCCGCCAGGGTAACCACGGGGTCCTCATCTCTGATGGGACCGAAGGTCACGTAAAGCTGCAGGACCGCCGTCTCTTCACCGTCGATGTCCTTCCAGATCTCCTAGCCCAGGGGCTCTCTGAAGCGCCAGGGCTGCTGCTTCAGCTCTGAGCCTCTTGTCCGTGAGCCCATCTCCACACCAATAGGCCGGGAACCCAATCACTGAGGTTCTCAACGCCCCCGGAGGCAAGGGGCCATATCTCCCAGACGGGTCGGTCCTCCCGGCGGCCTACTCCTAGACCCTAGACCCTGAACCCTACACCCTAAACCCTAAACCCCAAACCCTAAACCTTAAAGGCCCCAAACACTAAACCAAACCCGAAACCCTGATAGAGGGTATCTTTCTGGGGATGCTAGCTATAAGAAACCCTACCCCAAGTGGGATCCCTTCGACGAAATGGCTCCTCATGTTCAGTGCGCACACATAAACCAACTTCTGCTAAATTCCCCAGTGACCTAGAAAGAGAGGCACCCCTTTTTGGGGTTTAAAATTGGGTTTATACAAGGGATCCTCACCCCTTAAAAGGGAATAAGGGCATGACTTGGCCCTGCCCCCAGCGAAATATGGGGGCCCCCACGAAGCGCTCAGCATCATGGCCGAAAACTCCATGAAAAACTATAGGCGGGAGCATACTGTCTGCTGCAGACAACTGCCCCTCGACGCCAGAAAAAGAAAACCCCAAACGCCCGAAACAAAAAGAAACATGATCCCTAAGCCCGAAAGGCACCCGAAACCCTACACCCTAAACCAGACCCTAAAACCCTAAACCGTCCAGGAGTCCGGCGCATGTCCTTGTAGGTTTCCTGCGACGCAGAACCGTTTCACGGTTTGGGGTTTCCGTTTTTAGGCCTTCCACGCAAAGATCTCAACCCTAGACCCTTAACCAATTAAGCACTAGCTATACCGGAATTGGACTACACAAGCCTGACTTCCGGACCACTACACGCACCAGCTTGCGCTCCTAACAGCCACAAACCCGATAAAAAAAGAAACAAAAAAAACTACCCGCCCTCTGACCCCAGAACCCTTGCCCAACCAGCCCTAAACCCTAAACCCTAAAGCCAAAACCCTAAACCCTAAAATTCAACCCGAAACCCTCAATGAGATGAGCCCTTAACACACGAACCCCAGAAGCCCTATAAGCCCTCCAAAAAAAAGCCAAAGCCCTTCCAAGAGTGCTTGAGGAAGCCCGGAAATTTGTCTCGCCGGCAGTGTATTCTGTGAACCCTGAACCCTGAACCCTGAACCCTGAACCCTGAACCCTAAACCCTAAACCCTAAACCCTAAAACCTAAAACCCTAAACCCTGAATCCAGGCTCGACCTTGTCCACGTTTTGAAAGACGTTCGCGTCGTTGCTGGAGTTAACAACCTGGAAGAGCCTCATCACGTGCAGGAAACTGAATTCAGGATTTCGGGTTGTAGGGGAATGCGTAGGCGCCGCAGTAACCTAGGAACTCAAGCAGCAGGAACTTTTACTTTTGGGGGCAGTACGTACCCATGATGGCCCTGTCGGCAGGCTTGTTGCAGAACCAAACCCTGAACCCAAAACCCTGAACACCTAACACTGAAAGGAGGTAGCACTGGCCGAGGGTGGGGGGTTCTTGGGAAAAGGTGACAGACCCTTTCGGAGTATGCAAAAAGAAGATTCCCCAATCTAGGGAGATGGATAGCGAGAGGGGTCTAGTGTCTGGATGCTCTCACGGGCTTGGGAAGCACTGCTGGCGTGGTTGCACTGGGGAGGCTTTAGGACGTTGACATGCATGGCTTGCGGTGGGGCCGACGCAGGGTTTGGAGTCTAGGGTTTAGGGTTTAGGGACTCTAGGGCTTAGGGATTAGGGTTTAAGGCTCCCAACAACACGACACAGCGCCCCTACATGCTGCTAAATTCTAGTCTACGCCCAAGCGTAACCCCGGAATGAAAAAGGTACCCTTTTTGGTTTCAAGGCGGTGATCAGAGAACCCAAACCTTAAAGAAAGGGGGAATATCAGGGCCTCCTCTGGCTCCCAGGAGTGATGCTTCAGAGAGAACCCTGGAAAGAACACACAAAGTCATTCAAAGGCCCAATCAAGAAGGCTGCGAGCTCAGTGCTTCTGCTGTCACAGCACACGAGAAGCAACTCGAAACACATGGGGGTTTAAGGGTGCCTTCTTGGGGTCCCTACTTCGAAGGGAATCTCACAATTTGGGGGACTTTACTAGGGGTCCTTTAGTCTCGTAAACCCTAAACCCTAAACCCTAAACCCTAAACCCTAAACCCTAAACCCTAAACCCTAAACCCTAAACCCTAAACCCTAAACCCTAAACCCCCACAGCCTTAGAGGACCTAGGAATCCCACAGGGCACCCTTGGCAGCTTAGTGCAGTTTGCAAGAGAACCTTAGGGTTTAGGGTTAGGGTTGGGGGGTTTCAGGGTTTAGGGTTTGGGCTTCATGAAGCCCTAACCCCAAACCCCAACCCTAAACCCTAAACCCTAAACAACAAGTGGAAAGGAAAAGGCGCTGGGCGCTGGGCCGGGGGGGGGGGGGAGGAGGATGGTCCTGTTTAGCAAACGCTGATACTGAAACCCTAAACCCTAGACCTTAGACCCTAAACCCTAAAACCCTAAACCCTAGACCCTAGACCCTAAACCCTGAACCCTAACCCTAATCCCCAAAAAACACTAAACCCAACACCCAAAAACCCTCAACCAACCAAGTGCAGCCGTGCGGCGTGGCGCAGTGCATGTTCTCCAAGGGCGAACGATCCTGGGCAGCTTCTGCGTGGGGTCTCTAGGGGTTAGAGGTTTAGGGTTTAGGGTTTAGGCTTTAGGGTTTAGGGTTTGGGGTTTGGGGTTTGGGGTTTGGGGTTAGGGCTTCATGTTTGTAAGAAAATGGTACCCTAAAACTCCCAAGCCCAAACCCTAAACCCTGAAACCCCCCAACCCTAAACCCTAAACTTTAAACTTTAAACCCTAAGCCCTAAACCCTAAACCCTAAACCCTAAACCCTAAACCCTAAACCCTACAACTCCCGAACGCCCAAACCCCGGTACATGGGATGCCAAGAGCTTCACCCTGTGAAGGCCCCCTCACTGCCTCTGAAGCACTTTAGGGTCTAGGGTTTAGGGTTTAGGGTTTAGGGTTTAGGGTTTAGGGTTTAGGGTTTAGGGTTTAGGGTTTAGGGTTTAGGGTTTAGGGTTTAGGGTTTATGGTTTGTTACAGCTAGGGTTTGGAGTTCCATTTTTAAGCGGGGCTCCCAACAACAAACGGGCAGGGTGTGTGGCTCTCCGTTCTATAGGACGCCTATATCCGAAATTCCCCAGCCAGGTCCTAAACGCTAGAAACCCTAAACCCTAAACCCTAAACCCGAAAACCCCGTAGAGTCCCTGAACGCCACTGGATAAAAAACTCGCCTCCCTCCCAATCGCAGAAGCTTGAAACTTAGGGTTTAGGGTTTAGGGTTTAGGGTTAAGGGTTAAGGGTTTAGGGTTTAGGGTTTAGGGTTTGGGGTTTAGGGTTTAGGGTTTGGGGTTAAGGGCTTAGGGTTTAGAATTCCGGGTTTCGGGTTTAGGGTTCAAGGCTTGGGGGTCCAGAAATGAGGCCTCCCAGAAACGGGGGCGGGGGAGGGTGAGTTTTCCTCCTCAAAACCCTCAACCCCCGCCCCCCACCCAGGAAAGGGACCCTGACTTTAGGTACAGCTGCTACCAGTTCCCAGAGACCCCAAAACCCCTTAATTAAGGAATAGACCTTAAATCATATGAGGGTTCCTAATTCTAATTTAGGGGTATATTCCGAATTGAGGGGTTTTGGAGACTCTGGGTTTGAATGGCCTACTGTCTGCTCCCAGGGCTTCTCCTCTTCACCATGTTTGGGGTACCAGAAATCGGGCCCTCTGGTTTAGAACAGCCCTACGTAAACATGAGGACTTTTGGTGTTCGCGCTTAGGAAACCTTAACCCCAAACCCTAAACCCTATACCCTAAACCCTAAACCCTGAACCCCAAGCCATCGCTTGACAAGCAGACCGAGTGGCGTTGTACTTGACAGCAACTTCGTGGTTCGTCTCGACCAAGAACTGGTTGTTGACACCTTGTTCGGTGGCAGATGGGGGTTTAGGGTTTAGGGTTTAGGGTTTAGGGTTTAGGGTTTAGGGTTTAGGGTTTAGGGTTTGAGGTTTTAGGGTTTAGGGTTTAGGCTTTTAGGCTTTTAGGGTTTAGGGTTTAGGGTTTAGGGTTTAGGGTTTAGGGTTTAGGGTTTAGGGTTTAGGGTTTAGGGTTTAGGGTTTAGGGTTTAGGGTTTAGGGTTTAGGGTTTAGGGTTTAGGGTTAAAGGTCCTAGGCACGAAACTTAAACTTGTGTAGGCTTCTCCGGCTTGAGGGCTTTGGGGGTTGAGGTGTGGGATCTGCCTTCCGTGCTTCAGGCAGATGGGCCCTTCAAGGCGCAGGTAGGGCTTGGGCATCGGAACTCTTATCTGGGAACGCGAGCAATGTGGGGGCTTCCGAATATAGGGGTGCCTTTATTTGGGGGGATTCCAATAATAAGGATGATAGTATTTGGGGGTAGATAAGGGGTACCCTATTTTGGGGAGTGCCCATGTCGCAAGGTCCCAAGTGCCAACTTTCTTGTGTGGCTTGAGAGATTTGGGGCTAAGGCTGCACTTGGAGGTTCATAGGTAGTGATAACCCGAATTATAGCTGCACTTGGAAGCCCCTGAGTAGGTTATAAGTAGACTTATAATTCGGTTTATGGAGGTTAGGGCGTTCAGGGTCTACAGCAGGGGTGTCCTCAAAGGCGCGGGGTAAGCCCGAATTTGGAACACCTAGATTTTAGGGTTTACGGTGTAGGGTTTAGGGTTTAGTTAAGGTTGAAACTCCATCACCCCGACATAAGCCTCGAAACCCTCGAACCTGAAATCTTAGTTGGGGATCAGGGAATAGGGTTCAGAGACAGACCCTAGACCCTAAACCATGAACCGTAAACCCTAAACCCTAAACTCCAAACCCTAAACCCCAAACTCTGACTTGTTATGTTTTGCTCTTTGCTTTTTTTGGTGGCTCTCCCCCAATCCCACGAGGCAGCCGACCCAGGTGGCCCAAGTCGTGTCCAATGGAGGCAATCAGCAGCCAAAACCTTCGCGCTTTTAGGGTTTTCTAGGGATTAGGGGGGGGGGGGGGGGTTTAGGGTTTAGGGTTAGGGGTTTAGGGTTTAGGGTTTAGGGTTTAGGGTTTAGGGTTTAGGTTTAGGGTTTAGGGTTTAGGGTTTAGGGTTTAGGGTTTAGGGTTTAGGGTTTAGGGTTTAGGGTTTAGGGTTTAGGGTTTAGGGTTTAGGGTTTAGGGTTTAGGGTTTAGGGTTTAGGCCTGAAGGGATTAGGGAGGGGTTTACGGTTTCGGGTTAGGGCTTAGGGTTTAGGGTTTGGGGTTTAGGGTTTACGTAGGGTTTAGGGGTTCCGGCTTCGTTTTGAGGTTTAAGGTTTAGGGTTTAGGGAGGCTTAGGGTTTAGGGTTTAGGGGTCGGGGTTTAGGGCGCTTTGGGAGATTAGAGGGTGTAGGGTGCCTTCAGCAGCGAAAACCTCGGCTTCGGTTTGAGGTTGAGGGGCTTTAACGAGTAGGGGGGTTTAGGGTTTAGGGTTTAGGGTTTAGGGTTTGGGGTTTGGGGTTCGGGGTTCGGGGTTCGGGGTTCGGGGTTCGGGGTTCAGGGTTCGGGGTTCGGGGTTCGGGGTTCAGGTCCTCGGCTTCGTTGTAAGGTTTAGGGCCTTTAGGGAGTGGGGGGGGGGCTTTAGGGTTTAGGGTTTAGGGTTCAGGGCTTAGGTTTGAAATTGAGCAGGGGTGCTGCGCCGTCTCCGTCAGGACAGTCTCCAGGTTGGTGAGCCTCCCGCATCCACAGGTGAGGGTCTACTTGGAGGTTCATGGTACTTAGTAACTTAGGGTTTAGGGTTTAGGGTTCAGGGTAACTGTACTTATAATTGTACTTAACCATATTAGGGCACCTAAGGGGCTTATAAGTGGGTTATAAGTACAGTTATAATCAGTTACTAAGTGCCATGAACCTCCAAGTAGACCCAGGAGAAACTTAGGAATAAACAGGGTGCCTGTTTGGGTTTTACATGGATTGTACTGGAAACCCAACCCTTTAAGCAAATAAGGGCCTACTCCGGGTCCTAGGAGTTTACGGCTTCGGGTTCTTGGCCTAGAGGTGTGTACGAAGCAGATAGACTTGGTAGCCGAGCAACCACAGTAGAATAAGGGCACCTCATTTTGGGGTTGGTTGCTTTACGGGAACCCAGAAACCCTAGACCCTGGACCCAAAACCCAAAACCCAAAACCCTAAACCCTAAACCCTAAACCCTAAACCCTAAACCCTACACCCTAAACCCTAAACCCTAAACCCTAAACCCTAAACCCTAAACCCTAA